CTGTATATATATATATATATATATATATATATATATATATAATTACTTCCTGTAATGCAAACAGATGCCAAAATGATGAAATTTATTTGTGGAATACGGTCGAGAAGGTCAAGATCTCGGCAGTGGGACAGACCAAAGTCAACATTTTAAGTGATGTACAGACATTTGATGTGCTTAAAACTAGCTAATTTTCATGCTGGTGATTTTGTGATAGATAAAAGCCGTTTTACTGCAGTGATACTAACAAAGTGGAACCATATGGTTTAACAATCAATGAGACTTTCTATTTATCCTCTGCAATGTTTAAATTCGACTGATATCACTCGTATTATTCTTGACAGCAAACGTTTGAGATGAAAACGTGCACGTACAAACAATACTCTGCCGTATGTTTTCATTTGCACTGGAGCGGTTCCCGGCCTCTGATAATACACAATTAATCACAGTTCATGTAAGGAGAAGTAGGGGAACTCAGCACATAATTTCCATAGATTGAAGGCCGCGGGAAAAGGTCGGACAAGAAATCTACAGAAATCTGGAATTTGGAAGAGTTTGCGCGTGTCTCCAATTCAGTCCAGTGAAATCCACATGCAACCACCACGTGTATTGTAAAAGATAACTGCCAGAGTTCAGATTTTACAGGTTTCTCAGCATTTCTGTGAGAAACGGAACAATCTTGGTCGTCACAATTTGTTAAAATGTGCCAAGTTCATTCATACATGTGCTTCCTTTTAAACACGAATCAACTGATTTTACGCATCTTATGTTCTTACGGTTAGTCGGCCAGTTGTAATATTATTCACAATGTGAAGGTTTAATTGTTTTCTTCTGTCTTTTCTGCAATTTCATATTACAGGAGGAACCCGCGTCTCTGTTTGTTTCCTGATTTATGTATATGGGTGTATGTTTTTTAATCATGACTGAGGTGTCCAAATGTTTTGCATGGGGATAGATTTGTTGCATATTTCTAAATAAATAACAGTCATTCAAAAGTTATTACAGCATAAATAAGCTATTACAATAATAGTGTGCCACAACAGCTCAATGTGCTATTGATCTGAACCTTGACATTTTGGTATAGAGCCACTGATATCACAAACAAAACAGAATCACACAAACAATATATTTATTGCAAATTAATTCCACTGAACTAATAACACAGGAATTATGTGAGCTTGTATTATGAAAATAATGGTATAAAAACATTTAAATAACAAAATGAAGCAAACATGTCCAGTACAATTAGTAATACGTTGAAAGAGGATTGGGAATGGATAGACAAAAAAAAAAAAAAAAAAGGGGT